ATTCAACCCCCCCCACGAAAACAGAGCCTTTGGGGGGGGGGGGGGGGTTACACATGTCAAACACAAGTCAGCAAAATCCCATTGGCAGTAATTGAGCAGGAGACATGGCGGTTCAGAGTCTGCGTTTGACCTGCTTTGTGTTGCGTTGCTTTTCTATGGATGCAACATATTAAGGTGCGTTTGAACGCAAAGCAGGCGTCTGATTATATTTGTACGGTTGAAGTCATGACCCGGCTATCCTATTAGAGCCAGTTTAACACCAATTGTCTTCCTCAGCGATACACAAATCTCCATAGTGCCTAAGCTTCGTATGTGGCTTTCTGGACACCATGTCCCCAGTGTTGTCATCCCCAGCAGAGCTCACCATCTCATGTTCTACAGATCAGAGGACTTGCAGGAAGAAGAGGATTTGTTGGGGTAACATGATCCCCCCATCCAGTCCACACAGAGTGCTGGGAACCGCTTCTCTCTCTTCCCCCTCTCATAAAAAGAAGACATTATTACCTCATCCTCACCAGGAACCAGCTTTCTCCTCTTCCAGGAAGTTTCTTTAAGCTACCAGAGCCGCTCCACTTTCATCCGCGGCTACAACAAAATGGCCGTCCATCTTCCAGTGCTGAGCCAAACTGTCCATATATTTAATTTTAAAAAGGGCTAACGTCTGCACTATAATAATAGCAATACACATGTTTATCGCTTGATGGAATATTTGTAGCACTTTTTCTAAAGAACAGTGTGCCTGCGCTACAAGAAAATGGCCGCGTTTCTTCCGAACGGAGCAAGTGTTTGGAGTTTTGTCCTCTAGCAGCGATGCCCAGTGGGCGGGGTTTTACTTATAAGACATTGCCAGATCTCTCCGCTCTGCGGCTCCACGGCAACTGTGCCTGGTTGCTATGGTGATGCACGCGCGCGCGCAGATGGACGAAAGATTCAGTCAGGGAGATTGGCCGCCATCTTGTGGACATTTTTGGGAACTGAAATAAATTCTTGCTACTGTGGTGTGGGTTAAAGAAAGCCTTTTTATACACTAGGGAAACATGGTGGTCCCTCCAATATCAGCAGTTAAAACCTTTCCTTACACCTTTGCGACAGAACAGCGCTGAAATTGCGTGTGTGCGTCCGTGAAATTGCAAAAAACTACCATACCCCAAATTGCCCATAGGTGACACTTTAAAAGCTTTTAGTGCTTATCAGTTTAAGTTAACAGTAATTGATGGCCCTAGAATTATTGCTCTCACTTTGACGTTCGTGGTGATATGTAACATGTGGTGTAATTGTCGTTTTCACACGTAGGTGCGCATGAAGCGTGTTTGCGTTTGTATGTGCGTATACATAGAGGCAAAAAACATTTTTTCATTTTTTTATATGACTTTAATTTTTAAATATTTTTTTTTACACTTAACTTTATTGCTATCACCTAGGGGACGAACAAGCTCCCTATGTGATAGCACAGACACAGTGACAGGTCCTCTTTATGAAGACATTACATTACTGTTAGACCCCTAATGTCACCTATGGAGCCCCCCCCCCCCCAAAAAAAAAGCTGATGAAGCCCAGATCGGCTTCATCAGCTTCTCCGGCCACAGCAGTCGGAGAAATGACAGCTTGAAACCAGAAGTGATGTAATGCACATCGCTTCCACTTTCAGTGATCGGAGGGGAAATCAGCAGCTGGAAGTGTGCTGATCTACCTCCAATATCAATGCAGAGACCCACACAGAGGACAGCGGAGTTCGGGGTAGCCGGTGGCAGGGGGGGGTACGGTCGCAAACCTGCTGCAACATACAAGCGATTGGGCACCTCTGCAGCCACCCGAATGCTTGTATGTAACAGCCGTTGCTGATTGTAAACAGTGTTCACGTTTGCCCCGTGCTGCCTCGCTGCTTGTGCAGACCCTGAGCTGCTGAAAGGTCCACAGCTCTCCCACTCGGCCCACCGTAGTCACCTCAGGCCTTCCACTCTCCGAGAACCCAGCGATCCCCCTCCCCCCACTACCATCACAAGGGCTCTGCACACTCCTCACTCCTGCCGGGATCTCCCTCCACCATACAAAGTCAGTCAGCTGCCTGGGACTGTTGGCTGCAAGTCCTTGAACCCTTGTGTTGTAATCCTTACTGCGCCATATAGCTGCCTGTCCTTGCTGCGCCTGTATTGCTGCCCCTCTGAACTTATCTTTTGTTGTGCCGGTTTGCTCCCCCGTAATCCTCCTGCTTATCCCTGATGTGCCCAGATTGCTGCCCCTGAGACTCTTAACTTATCCTCTCCTGTGCAACATTGTTGCCCTGAGATGCTGCTGTGTGTCTCTGACCGGTGGACTCGCCACGTTACCCCGTTCCCCTCCCGTGATCAGTGCATAGCTTCCCATGTGGTTGGCCTCTGTGGGCCCTCTCTGTGGTCCTAGTTCATCAGACAAATATTCACGTGCAATACCGAATGTCAAATGTTGAAACCTTTTTATTTCTTGAACCCGGGCCGTGATAGACGAGGGGGACGTGTTCAACACTACTTACAGACTGTAAAGAGCCGAACAAATGTTGTTTTCTAGCTGTGAGAGGGGACGGGTTCAAACCTTTCAGACTCGTATTGCTCCCACTAACCTCAGTGGGAGAAATACATCTCAGGTTTTATTTGGGTGACACCACGACAATAAAAGAGCGGAGGTAGGTGGTGAAGGCCACACCCAGCCAATCGGCATCGAGGCCGGCCAAACAGATCTGACAATATGGTGACACGACCTCCACCCTGCAGACACCTCATTCCCCTCACATAGATCGTTAGCAGCCATCATTACCGTACCAGTCCCTCGGCCAGCTGGGCAGACACCGCTCTCCAAGATCTGCCCACGTCTCCTGTGTGTACAGCGCCCACGTGATCGGCCCTCAGCCTGCTACTGCGCAGACTGCCCAGCGCTCTCATTCAGAAATCCTGTGCATGCGCAGTAGCCAGCTGAGGGCCGATCACGCGGGCGCTGTGCACACAGGAGACGAGGGCAGATCCCGGAGAGTGAGAGCCCAACAGTGTCAGGAAAGAAGGGACCTGGTGGCATACCTAATCCCGCCGGGTGAACGTCCCCTCCTCTCTCTGCCCGCGTCCATCACTAAGATAGCCCCCGGCAGGCGTCAATGAGATGACCTTGTGTGCGCGGTGACGTCATTTGCGCATGTGCGATGACGTCACGGCGGGGTGTCACCCGGTCTCTGCTCCTGGTGACACCCAGCCTCGGGACGTCCTTGTCACTAAGGGAGAGGAGACTGAAGAAATGCTTCCTCCTGCCTGCAGCAGACCGATGGAATCATCTCAACCTCGCAAAAGTCACTGGACTGGAGCTCAAGGATGGCTTTTTAATGATCAAAGGCGGAGCTTTTTCAGAAAAACTTATATTGTTGCCGCATTTTGTGACATGTCAGGAATCTGGTCACACAGTAAAGTGACTAAAAGGTCCAATTTAGTTTCTTGTTAAAACATTTTTCCGGACTGAGAACATAAATATGGAAAATGGCCCGTGATTTTTGATATGCGGCAAGACTTGTTCCTTGGGCGAGGCAAAGAGTTCCAGAGGATGGGAGAGACTCTAGAGAAGTCCTGGAGGCGAGCATGGGAGGAGTTGACTAGGGGGAGCTGGGAAGCAGGAGGTTTTGGGAGGAGCGGAGGGGACGGTTAAGGTGAAACTTTGAGACAAGGTTGGAGATATAGCCGGGGCAGAGTTGTGAAGGACCGGTGTGAGTTGCTTGATATGCAGCAAGACTTGTTCCTTGGGTGAGGCAGAGAGTTCCAGAGGATGGGAGAGACTCTAGAGAAGTCCCGGAGGCAAGCATGGGAGGACATGAAGAGGGAGTTGGAAAGCAGGAGGTCTTGGGAAGAGCGGAGGGGACGGTTAGGGTTATACTTTGAGACAAGGTTGGAGATATAGCCGGGGGCGGATTGGTAATGACCGATGCAAGTCTCTTGATATGCAGCAAGACTTGTTCCTCAGGCGAGGCACATCCCCCATTCGGATCATCAGTAGGGCTTCAACCCGATATGAACTCTTTCGTGTCTCTTAAGATATAACTTCTTAAAAAAACTCTGTCCGCATTTAGAACATTTGTATACGTTTTCACTCGAATGAGCTCTCTGATGCGTGGCTAAAATCCGCCTCGTATGGAACCGTCTTCCGCACTCAGAACACGAAAAGGGCTCCACCTCCGTGTGAGTCCTCTGATGCTGATCGAGATTGGACCTATGAGAAAAACACTTCCCACATTCCGAACACAGAAAAGGCTTCTCCCCCGTGTGGCTTCTCTGGTGCACGGTGAGACAGTATTTTCGAGTAAAGCATTTCCCACACTCCGAACACGAAAAGGGCTTCTCCTCCTTCAACGACGCTGGCTGGGGGTTTTGAGTGACGACTTTTTCTTCGGAGACACAGGCCGCGATGTCATCACATGCAATTGATGTAGTGGGATATTTGTCCATGTTTTGCAATCTGTACTGTCCATCTGCAAGACATGAAGATAAAATAGAATAACAATGCAGGAGTCCAGTTATGTATTAATTAGAGGTGCACTGAAATGGAAATGTAAAAAAACCGAAACGAAACCGAAATAAAAAAAATTGTCAGGCCGAAACCAAAACCGAAAATGTTTTTATTTTAATTTTTTCAATTTTTTTTAATTTATTATAAACTTTTAAATTTGTTATTTATTTTTATTTATTAATTTATTTTTTATTAAATATTTTTTACTTTACTTTTAGGGGTTTCGGGGAAATATTGGGGGTCTAAAGAGATCCCTGATATTTCCCTTTTAAAATAGAAAGTCCTCAATCTCTTTTTCTGCAGCACCTGTTATCAATGAACAGGAATCCTCTATTCTGAGTGTTCCTGTTCATTCATTACGTGAGGACAGAGTGTGATTACTATATCCACAATCATGAATGAACAGGAAGTGATGTAGATCACTTCCCATTCATTCATAATTGAGGATATAGTAACCATACTTTGTCCTCAAGTAATCACTGACTGCTTGTACCCGCTCTCCATCCTGACACACTGTCACAGGAGGCTGAGTGAGAGGAGCAGGGAGGAGAGCTCAGCCTCCTGTGACAGCGCTGTCTCCGCCCCCACACCGCTCTGCCAGACTGTGATAAGAGGTTGAGCGGTGTGGGAGGAGAGACACCGGCCGCTCACAGCGCTCTCCTCCCACAGCGCTCAGCCGTCATTTTCTCTCCTCCCCGTTGGGACACAGAGCAGCGCCCAGCGGGGAGGAAAGAAACTAGGGATGCACCGATGGATCGGCAGGAAAATTGCAGTTTCGGCATTTAGCCAAAAGTGCCATTTTCGGCCGCTATGTTTCGGCTGCCGATATATCGGTGCATCCCTAGAAATAAATGTTATGAACTTGTGACATCGCCTAAGCTTATTATAACCATGCACATGTGTGAGAATGTGTGCCGTAACAAAAACTAAAGGCGGTACAATGAAATATTAAGG